TGGAACTGCAGGCCTCATCCCTGAAGTTCCAGTACCCTTCTCCCTCTGTGCCCCATCCTGCCAAGCTTAGGGGCTCTTCCCCCAGGTTCTCCCCATGATACACACAGGAGCAGTGCTCCATTCTCTTGGCTTTTGTGGCAGGCTGGTGGATATGTCTCTTGTTTCACTTGCATTGGCCTGTCCATGTTACCTGCTGGTTCTGGAACCCAGCCCTCATTCCTCTCTTATCTCAATGACAGAGCCCACAACCCCTGTGAAAACCAAGGAGGTGCCAAAGAAGAGAAAAAAACCCTATGGGAAGAAGAGTAAGTGACTTAGATTAGCCCCTTCTTCACAGCACCCCTTCCTTTTCCTCTGTGGGAGGGCCCTTTCCCCACTGTGTGCACTTCACAGTAGGCTGGACCAAGAGGCCTGTTGCTGCAGTTGCAGCTAGTCCATGGTGTGTGGCAATGCAGCTGCCATCATTCCAGCTTGCATTCCCCCATGCTTCCCTGGCTGCGGAGAGCTCCAGGCACCGTGTAGGGAGGGTCCTAGCCCATACTCTGGTTCCCCATCTGTGCTGATTAGCTGCAGTCCAAACAGAAACTTTCAGCCCCTGAGAACATTCCCCAGCTTTCCTGTGGGGCTGACGTGTTTCTTTGACAAGATGCAGCTTCCCTTTTGTCCATCAGCATGATGGGGAAACTGCATGCCTGGCCCAGTTCAGGTAACTGGAAGTCAGTCAGGGTTATGTTTCTTTTCTGGTTGGTATTGGAAAGAAAGGGCATGTTGCGGGTGACCATTGGGAAGCAGTGAGATGAGACCATCACCATCTCCCATGTTTGTTAGTGCCTAAGAGCCGCAACTCAGGCTTCATTGTGCTATGTGCTGTCCTAACATGTAGTGCCTGACAGGCCTCGTCCCCAAGGATTTGCAGGCCATGATATCATACCTAAAAACAGAAAAATTATACAGATGCCACCATGTACAGGAGCAGTCTTGCCCATATGTGAGGAGCAAGGCCCGGGCCATTAAGCAAAGCACTGAAGTGGCTTCAGCAAGCCTGTTCGTATAAGCGAAGCATGTGCTTAAGTGCTTTGCTGAATCCGAGCCTTCATGTGCAAGAAAATGAAGTGCTCTGTATTTAGGATGATGGGAACAGTGCACTGTCCACCCCCCTCTTTTGGACTGGGTGCCTCCCTGGGGCTTTGGCCAGCCCAAAGAAAGATACGTCAGCTGCCTGACTGCTACCAGTGTCTCAGGACTGTCTGATTGGGGGTGAATGCCATCCCCCTCTTAGCTCATTAAAAAACAGCTTGCTGGCTGAGAATGCTTGTCTTTGTCCTGCGTTTGTCGGTGAAAGAGGACAGTTAGCAGCTCCAGTAAGATGGCAGGTCTTTCCCAACAGCCTGTTTCTCCTCGTTAAGGAAAAAAGATGGCTGCCAAAACCCGCTCGCTCAAGCAGACAACCAAGAAACCTGTCGGCCCAAAGGCAAAGCGCGAAGCAAAAGCTGCAAACAAGACCTCCCTGGAGCCAGCACCCGATGAGAGTAAGGAGAGGGGGTAGCTATGCCTTGCTGCCCCTTGCATGCATGCCAGGAACTGCTAGCACCCCCATGACCTGTCCCTCACAATGTTTCTGCCTCCTCTTCCCTCCACAAGGAGTTGTGGGCTGCAAGAGAGTGCAGGACAGACAAAATCTCCTCTTCCCCAGAGAAGGTTTTGGGGCTTTGCGTTGCTCCTGTGGTAGCAATAGCAGAGGGTGAGCTTGGGTCCTTCACAGTGAGCTGCCTCTTGCTGTTGGCTATCAGCAGCTCTATGGGTCATGCTTCTTATTGCTGGGACCCTCATCAAGACCTGCAGCTCTCAGAGAGTGAAACGTGTGTGTGTGTGTGTGTGTGTGTGTGTGTATGCGCGCGCGCACATGCGCACGCATGTGTGTGACAGAGAGAGGGGTCCTCTACTGAGTTCACAGCCATGGCCAATTTGGGGGGCGCCAAAATTATATGCAGAACAAAATAACAGAAACATTATTCTAAATAACAACCCTGACCAGCTATGGCTCTACCTTGGTCTAAGACCTTTGGTTTGGTAAGGGGAGAAAGACCTCTGAAGAACTCTCAGAGGAAAAAGCACTAGAATTGCAACTCCTACCTTTCATCTGTACTGGGAGTTGTGGGGGCACTGAGGTACACAGTTCTCCTAGAGTGTCAATTCCCCTTGGACCGGCTGTGTTCACAACAGGCACAGAATGTGCAAGGACAGCAAAACTTCTGCATCTAGGACTCAGACAGAAGGTCTCTGTCTGTCTCAGCCCTTCCTTGATGGCTGCTGAAGCTGCCAGTGAGAGGAGCCACTTTGTGCCCTCCAGTCTGGGCCTTGTCCATTAGTCCCATGTGCTTATGTCCCAGGTGTTTGTCTGACCAAGGTGGGGCCCTGTGGGGCTGCTGGTGCTCCCTGCTGCTGGGGCCTCGGGGGGTTGATTGATTGGTTTCTTTTCTCTCTTCACTAGTTATTGCCGTGCAAGTGAAAGAAGAAACAGTCGAGCCCTCAGTGATGGAGTTAGACTCCTCAGAGCTTCCCATTCCGATAAGCAGCATCAAGGAAGAGGTTATGGATTAACCCACGATCCTTCAGGTGGGGTCTCCTTGCCCTGAGCATCAGCCTGCCCTCTACACTGTGACTCCCTAAGGAAGCTCCCCCACATAGCTGAGCAGGAGACGAGAAGAGACAGTGCATTCCTGGCCTTGCAGAAGAAGAATCGTTGACACAGGCCAGCTCCATCTTCACCTTTGTCTTTTTTAAACCCTGGTAATGGGTTCCAGGAAAAAAGTGCTGGACTTGGAAAGGAACATGGCTGCTCTTGCTGCTATTGCTGCTGCTGCTGCACATCTGTGGATCGGAGGGTAAATTTCTGAGCCAGGGAACTCCTCTTAGCTCCCCACCATTATTTGTTTCGAGCCCATTTAGGGAGGGAAAGGGGCCTCTGCTGCACTGGGGACTGACTTAGTCTTTCAGTCTTGTGTCTATGGAGCTTGTGACCCAAAATCCAAGAAGTGCTGGGACTACAGAACTTCAACCACTATGTGCAGCTTCAGGGGGAACAAGTCAGTCAGGAAGATGGCTGCTGTCACTCTGTGAGCATGCCCTATGTGCTCTTGTGTGTGTCCCTCTTTGTAATGTGGGCACAGAATCCAAGAGGGCGTCAGAGAGCACAAGGGGAAGGGGGAGAATTCAGCAAATAGAAACCAAGTTGCAAGAGGAAAAATCCCTTCTGATGCCACTCAGAAATTAATCTGCTTCCTGCCATGACAAGAGTTACACAGTTCCCAGGTCCAGAAAAAGAGAGCAGATGATTTACTTTTGCCTTTGTTCCCCCTCCTCTAAGGCGCACAATCCTAGTGTATCACTGCTATTTTTTTAACAATCCTCATGTAAATTTTACCAGTGAAATGTACTGGAATGGTCTGTAAATAAAGACTGAGTGGAAGGTGCAAGGCTTGTCTCTTGGTCTTGCGGGGGGGCGGGGGGGTGCAGCTGTAGTCCAGAAAAGGCAGAGAG